AATTAGCCATAATCAACACAGGTTTAAAGAAAAATAGACATCATCAAACTAACGCGTTATAATTTCTTATGAGATTACAAGTCTGGTTCACACAAGTAATTATGCTGATATGACTGGAATGATATGAAATCATCATGACATACATTAGAGAGAAACAGGCTAAGTAATAAGCCTCACATACAACAGTAAATGGGGACTTCTTCGTGAGCAGTTGTACTGTAATACACAATTCTTGCCACGCTGTTCCTTATTTATTTATCACAACCTAGCAGAAAATTTTTAAAAAAACATTACTGATGGATTTTGCTGTTGAAGCTTATTTTTGAGAAAACAGAAAAGAAATGAAGAGGATAAGTCAGCAATACAGAACAGCATGAGCTGCTTTGGAAATGCAAATAACATGTATTCCAGTATGAACAAACCTAACACCACACATCTGGGAACAAAGTTTTGTGTCCCTACTAATAGGAAGGGATTTTCTTTCTTTAGAAGAGGAGATTGTGAGGGGGAAAAAACCTACAATCAACATGACATGGAGCACTGGAGAAAGGAGCTGAATGAATTAACAGGAAGATGCTGTGATAAGATGGGTTGCCACAATCCTTGGCTGTAGGAACAGGAAAATTTAAGGTTGGAATAGATAGGCTGGATTACCACTGTGTAATGCACTAAAGTGACTACATAGTGTAGTGTACCTTACTCTGCTGTCCACTATGTTGTTTTTTTTGTTTGTTTGTTTGTTTTTGTTTTTTTAATCTATTGAACGAGCCTGCAACTCTATCTTAAAATTACAAATTACACAAGCCATAGAATGGCCTGGGTTGAAAAGCACCTGAAATGTCATCTAGTTTCAATCCCCCTGCCATGGGCAGAGCTGCCGACCACTAGACCAGGCTGCCCAGAGCCACATCCAGCCTGGCCTTGAATGCCTCCAGGGATGGGGCATGCTACTCCTCTCCAAAGGCAAGTTTGGGATGGGATTTGATCACAGTTTGCAAGACGTACATGGAAAGCTGTGGTGTGATGGTGGAGAAGAGGCAAAGATGGGACATTCTGTGAAAGATATACCAGCCTCTTCTCAGCTACTGAGCTAGTTAAAGAAAGAATTTGGATATATTCTACACGCAGACTTGTAATCACAATAAACCCCTCAAATTACCTACAGTTTGTACAAGTATATTCCATACTAAAACATGTCAAGGGGATGCTACAGAAGCGGTCAGAAACATTTCCTGCCTCTAATCACTAATTAAAGCACTTGGCTGCAAAGTACAAGAGAGGCCAAATAACCACTCGCTGGTGGAACTGACATCCCAAGGCCAGGCAGGACCCTTAGGACAGAGTCATGTAAAGGGATGCCTCTTTTCCACAGGGTCACTGGCATCATCTCCAACCACGTGTAAATGCAACTCCGATTCACAGAGTAGAGCAAGCAGGAGAAACTGCTCACTCTTCGTTGCTAGAGAAATGTCTGATTTAAAAAGCTGATGAGCACCAGCCTAGAAATAATTGACATCTCCTAAATTCACACATGTAGAGATGCTGGTCCAGCGTCAGTGGTGTTCAGATGATCTCAGCTTTCAAAAAATAGTAGTCTCAGCTTTAGGAATCTGCCCTTTAAGTTGCTTCAGAGCACGCCCTCCAAAAGCACCCCTCACTGTGGGAAACAAATGATGACAGACACAACCTAAACACAAATGCAGGGGAAGAGGGTCTCCCACCAAGAGAGCTGGTGACAAACACTGCCTGCATGAAATATCAGGGAACCTGCAACCTCCCATTCAGAAGTGAGCAATGGGAACTAAAGTGTCTGCAAGCCACGTGTGAGCCCCTGTTGCTTGTGTGCACAAAAGCATGGGAATTCAACCCAAATTACCTCTCTTGGTTTTAGGAGCAGTGAGGGGAACAATGGAGAATGCTGAGATAGGACTTATTTGTTTGCGGGTTTTTTTCCTAATCCTTACTGAAAAAACGTGTTGAGGGTTGGTGGGGGAGGGAGTGTGTGAGAGGGGAGAAAGTTCTGGTGATGTCAGCTCCTATTGCCATGGAAACTGAGCATTTTTAGTGACAATTGAGTCTTCCTCAAGCTGCTGGGTTGCGTGGGGGGCAGGGGCAAGCAGGGCAGGGGCACACAAGGGAATTTAGCTAACTAAAACTATAGCTTCTGGCTTTCCAAGGAAGTGAGGAGAAACTACATACGAATGCCTGAACACATGGCTTACATAACCAAAGCACCGTCTGGGGCAACAGCAGCAAAATAATCATTATACTCTTTGATAAAACACACTGTCACACCGAAAGCCAGTGGAGGTACTTCAGCCACCCAGGACCACCCAACAAAACGTCCCTAACCTGCACTATGCTTTTCCAGGCTACAGTTCATCCTCCCAACCTTTGATGCTTTGCTTGGGGTGCTGCTAGAGTATATATTTGGAAAGGGAGAAAGGCAGAATGAGTTGGGAAGTACAGTCCTTTTCCTCAAATTTGAGAGATGCTCAAACATCATCAAGGTGTTTTCATCATCTGGATGTTTCTTAGGGGGTTGAATTTATGACCTCTCTTGCAGCCCACGAGAGCACACGACCGTGGAAAGGAGGAAGCCTTTAGAAAAATACTGATGAGCTTCTTTTCAGGATATACCTCATTGGCACAGAGAAAATATGCACGGCCTTATGCAGGAGGCTTTGAAGGCTAAAGCGTAGTTTGGACTCAGAGCAAGCTAATCCAGGTGTGGGACCAATCAGGATGAAGCCTGGGGCTTAAATCTGAGGTTAAATAAAAGCCTATGTTCTGTATATAAGGGCAAATTTGAGCCTCTGCTTGGATTTGATTTAAGCAGTGCAGACAATTTTAATGAATTTCAAAAAATAATGAATTAATAACCACAAGCTTTTATAACTCAAAATACATTATATAGTCATTAGTTCTATATAACTAAATGGAAAAATCTTTCTTCAGCAGATGAAGTCTTTTGAGATCAGATATTCTAATGAGATTACTATCATTTCAGCCTGACACCTCATGAGAACAATTGTATAGAAATCAGGAAACAAATTTATTTTAGTTCTGGACCTGAAATGAAAAAATCCTCCACAGTGATTATTTTATACCTAAGGAGTCAATTCTAAGTCTCCTTGGCATTGAAAGGAGTCCAGATATGAGCTTCATTTCTAATATTGCTATCAGATGTGTAAAAGACTCTCTTCTCAAATTTCTCCCAGCAATGATAGCAGAAGTAAAGGTATAAATGGGTATAAAGATATACATTTCTGATCTAGGTAGAGAGGATTTCATGGAATCACAGGTTGGCAGGGACCTATGGGTCCACCTGGCCCAACCCCTGCAACAGCAGGGACACCTAGGGTGTTTAAGGCCATTTCCAGGTTGGTTTTGGAGATCTCCAAGGAGGAGACCCCACAGCCTCTGGGCAACCTGTGGCAGTGCTCCACCGTCTGCCCAGTAAGGAAATGCCTGATGTTAAGACGGAGCCTCCTGTGGTGCAGTTTGTTTCATGAAGGAAACAAGTGAAAGAGGTAAGCACAATTCCTTGTTTTCATGTAGGAATGCCCCACCAATTTCTTCATCACTCTAGACTGCACTGCTCACACACCATGCTTGCAGTGACACCAGGCAGAGAAATACCCCCCAGTTCCCAAGCCTTTCCTTCAGTGTGATGGCTGTCCTTCACCCACCTGGAGCAGAGCTATCCTCTCACCCCATATGTGCAGCACATCCCAATGGAGGAGTACCACAGGGTCTGAAGTCTCCTTTCCAAACACTTCCTATAACGCAGGCCTCTTCCAAATCACATGCTAATCACAGCACTCAGCCACAAGATAGGTTCCCATCTCATGCACACTGCTTATGTTCACAAAAAGCTGCAGCTTTCATCTGCCCATCCTCTTTTCACATACAAGCCAGCTGAGGATCAGCCTTCACACTTTCACAACTGAACGGAGTTTGAAAATTTCAGCTCCCCCCAGAAGCAAACAATTATACGCCCCTCCAGAGGAACGACTTCCAAATCTTTCTGTAGAACAACTGTGTCAGAAGCAAATGTAAAGACAGCGCTGCTCTGTACCTCAGGGAAAAGCTCTGCAAAGCGAGCTTGAACTCACTGTTGGCTCCATCAGCAGTGCACTTGCAAGTGACAGCAAATGCTGGTAATGCTTCAGGGAAAGGGAGAGGTAAGTCGGGGAGGTTTCTCTGAAAAGATTTTCACCCATTTTCTGTAAGAATGTTAATATTACATAATTTTTCTGACTTCTTTTATTATACCACAAGGCAGTGTGATTGAAAATGGACAAATTCCAAAAAAATGCATGCCCACTGATATCACAGAGGGACGCTTTGCTGTGATTTAATAGCCAAATCCTGGTAGGTTTTCCACTTCACACATGCAGAGGAGAAATCAGAGCTCCTTTATAGCAACTTTGTTGTAAAAAACACTCAAATGTCAGCTTGTCCCAATAGTACCATGGTTGAGGCCAATGCAATACAAAGACAAAAGGACAAGTGTAAAAAAAAATATATATATATATATATATATTTCTACACTGAAACACTGCTGTTGGAAACAGAGAAGCTGGCTTAGCTCTGATAAAGGTTGTTCCTCCTCCACTAACAAAATCACTTCTGGGCTAGCTCTTTAGCTGGTACAACTTAACACTCTCTACTGAAGTTGTGAGATAGACAGCTGCACATCAGCTAAGCTACCTTGCCTACTGTTTCTTCTCCAGGATGCCTCATTCAAGTTCTGCAAATTTACCACAGTAGGAGTGGACTGGAAACTTTTATATCAGTTGCATCATAGCAAATCAAAAGTAGCATTTATTGGCTTTGCAATTATTTACTTTCACCCTTCCATCAGGATTTGAGGGGCTTAACCTGGCTTGGTACACTTGAGGAAAAACATGGACAGTTGCCAAAATGGGGAGCACTTCTCATTTTCAGAAGACATTTCAACAAAGAGAATAAATAAACACAAACTATCCACCTACCCAGCCATGACAATGAAGAAATCCAGGCGGTTCCAGGTATCTCCAAGGTAACACTTCTTGCCAAAGATCCCCAGGGCCACCATCTTTAACACCATTTCCATTGCAAAGAAGATGAAGATGAAATCATCAAATACCTGCCAAACAGAGAGCCAACAACAAGTGTGACACACATTCCCAGCTCGAGACTTTTCAGTGCAGATAGTGAAACAAACATGAATTTCAGTACTTCTGAAAACAAGTTTAAGACAAGGCTGGACAAGTTTCTTCTATGCAACACTGGCATCATAGCTACCTGCTGTCAAAGCAAGCAAGTAGGGGCTCTATTTATTCCTCCTACATGAAGTACTTGTGTAGACTCAGAGCATCTTTGGATGGACCTGAAAGCAGGTGTTGGTTCACCAACAGCAGGTCCCTCCTATGTCAGGAAGACATGTTTTATTCACAGGATCAAGAGGATTAGCGACTAGTCTGTACTGCTTGGTCACAAATACACTTCATTTATTCTCTCTCTAACCCCACATTCAACTCCTCAAAGCTATTTCTCCCCTTTTTATAGGAAGCTACTTTTCTGCCAGGGATGTTCTCACCAACTTTTTGGTAAGGTATTGACCACACACTGAAAGAAAACATGCATGAAATTCTGTGACTTGTACTAATGCACCATCATGACAGGAAGGAAGTCTGCTTACCTGCAAGATTTTACACCTGTCAGAAAGGCAGTCCATATCCTCACACGGTTGGTACATCCCCAGGGTGACACAGTTTAGCAAAATCACCATCATGCTGACACACTCAAACCAAGTGAAAAAGAGTCAAGGAAAACTGCTGCAAAAGCGTCAGGGCTGAGATAAGCTTTCTCGAGATTTGGGATGACAAAACAGGAAGATTAAGGGAAATAACTGCTGATAGGCTCATCTGTCATAACAAAATATAACAAATACACAAAACATTTGTTATGTTTTTCTCCTTTAGTTCCTCACTTCTGCACTCTTTGGTAAAGCCAAAGCCATTTTGTAAATGGGAAAGTACAGGTAGCTGAAAGCCTTAATACTTACACGAGTCAGACTGTTGCCATAGTTAAACAGACGCAGGCTCAGACTCCTCTCCTGTTGGCTTACAGATCTCACAAATACAGTAGGAAAACAAAAACAAAAACCAAAAAAAACCTTCCATGGTACCCTAAACTCATATGCAGCAGAAATCTCTGAGATCTGATGAAAATCTATATTGAACACTATGACACTGACAGTTGGATCACTTCATGAGTCCAGTGAGCAGGACCCTTCTGAGAAGGCGGTAGAGCATAAGGCTAGAAGTCTCCTTCTTCACTTCTGAGAAGAGCTTGGAGATAAAGGCATGCCATATTGGAACAGGCCAATGGTCATCCAATCCATTATTCTGCTTCCAGCAGTGACCCATGCAGGATAGAACATCACCATGTGCCTAATTAAGTAATTCAGTAACCATGGGGGGAAATTGTGTTTCTGACCCCAGCTGCTGTTCTGTTTGTGCCCTAGAGCATGAGGATTGATAGCCCTTGTAATTGTTTTCTCAGCTATAGTGGTGTCCCTGCAGATGCTTTGCTTATTCATTTGAATCCTTTGTCGAGAATCTTTCTAAAATAACTGCCTCGATAATAGCTGGCAGCCGTAAGCTACATTAGCTAATTATACTTTACATTAAGAAGTATTTCCTCCTATTTATTTTTAATTTGTTGCCTTTTAATTTCATCAAGTACCACTTCGTTTATATGTTACAGAAGAGGGTAAAAATGGTGCATTTGAGGAACCTCTCTGTGCCCTTCGCAGCCTCTATCTGCCTCTTCCTTACCATGAAGGAGGCTTAGGACTGATCCGCACTTACCCAGGATTCAATTACAGTGTTTTAGCTCTAAAACCGGGCACATGTTTCTGTGACTTCTTCCCAGCGTTCGCATTGCAAACCAGTGATGTAGATCTAATGAGAACAGACCTCCAACCTCTGGCAGAAACGTCACTCATGTAATTTCACATGCCTCCCGAACATCCTTGCCTGGTTTCCATTTTCAAACAAAGGTTTTTTTCCTTTTTGTTGTTGCTGTTGTTGTTGTTAATTTAAACTAAGAGAGCTGAGAAAATACCTATTGAAAATACAAACTATTTTTCACTCCTCACAGAACTGAACCCAAAATGGTGGTCACTTCTGAAAGGCACTCAAAATCCATGGTTTGTTCTGAGCAATTCTTGCTTGCTCGTTCTGACAGTGATTCATGACTAACTCTGCACAATCTGATCTGGAAGATTATTAATTCCTTCTCTTCTCCCCCACCTGGTTTTCAGTGAGCTACCTTCAGTTGCAAAATCAGACAAGAACAAGACACCAGTTCCACTGTGCCAATCATGCTATAAGGTGATTTCAAGAACACATTATCACTATCCCTTACAAAGTGAATCCAAGCGCTGTACAAAGTAAGCACATGGAGCCCACCCTCACTGTGGGCTGCAAAAACACAGGCCTTGTCAGAAAAGGATAGACCGAAATGGCACGAATAAAAAGACTGCCCTCCAATGTCTACATGGCACAGCTTCAGTTTCCCACCTTTCTCTCTCTCTTTTATCTTTCTTTTATGAATCAATTCAAAGCCAGCCCACAAAAGCACTTAAAGAGGTTTCCATTAGCTCTCGCGGGACTTTCAGGTAAGACTACAGCTCTTTTCTGGACTTTCCAAACTGTTTGTTGATTTTGTTGTTTTAATCTTTCACAGAATCACAGAAAAGTTGATTCTGGATCTCCTCAATAGATGTGAGGGTGATCTGGCTATGACATCTGTCACCCCATTGACCACCAGGGGTGATTTGGCTGATCAGGGTGGCTAGGCAGGTATCTCCTTCCTCTCTCACTGCTCCATATGCATCCCTTTCAAAGCTGCATGCTTGATTGAAGATGACCTGCCCTGCTAGAGATGTACCATTGATAGGTATACAGTAGCTGCACTCCCCTGCTAGAACCTCCAAACAAGCTCAAGGTCCATTTGTAGGAGAATGTAGAGTAGTCAAGCTTCCAGGACTGTGGACACTCCCTTACGAAGCACTGCATGGGGCAGTGCCTGAAGGAGTATTTTGGCAAGGTATCAGCCTCTTCTCCCATGTAACCAGCCATAGGACTAGAAGGAATGGCTTCAAATTACACCAGAGGAGATTCAGTTTGGATGTTAGGAAAAACTCTCAGAGTTGTCAGGCTTTGGAACAGGCGGCTGAGGGAGGTGGTGGAGTCACTAATGCTGGTGGTGTCCAAGAAATGCTTATGTGTTGTACTGCAGGACGTGGTTTAGTGAAAAATATCGGTCATAAGTGAATGGTTGGACTGGATGATCTTGGAGGTCTCTTCCAACTTTGGTGATTCTATGACTCTCTGAGGTCATCTTATCAAAATAGGGTCAACTACAGCAGGTTACTCAGTGTCACGTCCAGTTGATTTTTCAGTGTCTCCAGAGATGCATTTCCACTAGAACATCTCTGGGTAGCCTGCTTCAGTGCTTGACTGTTTACTCACTGTTTTCATACATTTAAGCAATATTTCCCATATTTCACTTTATGCCTGTTCCTACCACCAGACACAACTGACTGTAGTCCAGCTCTGTCATCTGTAATCCCTCAAGCATCTATTATTCCCATCAACACTCACAGCAGCCCTGGCTGAAATAAACACATGCAAAACAAAAAGCGGAAATTGCTTTAAAATCTGGAGTGTTTTCTTCAGCATACAGCTAGAAAATATGACACCAGAAACCTGATGGCACAGAGTACTCTCCAACCATGACCAGTCTCAGGGTGTTGAGGAAAAAGGGCATGAAATCACATCTTTATATCCATACAATCACCAAGGTTGGAAAAGACCTCCAATATCACCCAGTCCAACTGCCAGCTCACCCCCACCATGCCCACTAACCATGTTCCTCAGTGCCACATCCACACGGTTCTGGAACACCTCAAAGGATGGTGACTGTACCAGCTCTCTGGACAGCCTGTGCCACTGCAGCACTGCTCATTATAGGAAGAAAATGTTCCTAATAGTCAACCTGGACATTCATATATTTATACAAATCCATGTTTCTGTGCATATACTTTGGCTGCAGCAGTGTATACGTGGCCAAGATGCTCCCATGCTCCCCTTGCAGTAGTCCACCCTGGATCACACAGACATGGCAGGGCACCTGCAGGCAGCTGATGAGATCCTGAGATTCACAACCGCCCAGCCAGTCAGACAAAGCACTCCCTAAAACCTAGCAATTTTAACCAGGGGTACAAAGCCATGAATCTTCTTTCTCAGAAATCAGAGGCTGGCTGTACAGTTTCTCCTCGCCTGTTTTTCAAATACCAGCTCTGAGAGTTTGCCAGCATTGTCCAGGCATTTGAGGACACTGCTGATTAAAGTGACATTAGAAAAAGCTTTCTTTCTGCCACCACATAGTGCCCTTCTTTCAGGGCAGGTGGGGGCCCCCAAGAAGGCAGGTCCCACCTGTGACAGAGAGAAAGAAAGCATGAGGAGTAGACGAGAGCCTCTACACCGAGCTAGGAGGGATGGCTGCCCGCTTGGGTCAGTGGAGGGGGTAATTTGAAGTACCTGCTGCCTTTGATGTGTCACAGCTGTCAAATACCATGACTGCCTCTCATCACCACGGCAACAGCCTGCAGCCAGGTTTGTCATCATCCTTTCGGTGATGCCTCCCCCTCCCCGCATCCTTCCCCCCACCCTGCTTCTCCCTGTGTCTGAGCCTGTAATTAATTTCAGCTGCTGACAAAGCCGGTCTTCACAATCTGCATCATTCAGTCAGAAGTTTCATTACTAATTAACTTCTTTCGAAGTTCAAGTGATTTAATTATGCAGCTTGAGCAGGGCCCATCCAGCTGTTGGCCAGAGGCAGCTGCTGTGTATCCATTGACCTTCTTCCATGTTTTCCAGCAGGGATGGGTAGACACTCAAGGGGAATATGCATAGAATCATAAAGGTTGGAAAAGATCTCTATGATCACCCGGTCCAACCACCAGCCCATCCCCACCATGCCCCCAACCATGTCCCTCAGTGCCACATCCACACAGTTCTGGAACACCTCCAGGGATGGTGACTGCACCACCTCCCTGGGCAGCCTGTGCCACTGCAGCACCGCTCTTTCTGAGAATAAATTTTTTGTAATATCCAACCTGAACCTCTCCTGGTGCAACTTGACGCCATTCTCTCTCATCCCATCACTGTTACCTGGGAGAAGAGGCCAACCCCCACCTCACCACAATCTCCTTTCAGGTCAGGTCACTGTAGAGAGCAATAAGGTCTCCCCTGAACCTCTTCTTCTCCAGTGAAGAATGCCAGTTCCCTCTTACACTCCTTGTAACACGTGTGCTCCAGACCCTTCACCCAGCTTCATTGCCTTTCTCCGGACACACTATTGCATCACCAGCACACACATGGGATGAACTACCATCGACCTCAAACCATCTGAGATGGGCTCAGAGATGGAAGCCACAAGTTACTGGACAATTAAGGAGATACGCAGGTGTCTCTGAGACCTGGACATGTTGCCACAGTGCTTGATAACATGACTACGCATAATGCAAGATGATGCACTCCTAAAGTAGAACCTTGCCAACTCATGTATTGAATACCCTGGGCCCTTTTAACCTGCTGTAGAAATGCATTAGCTACCAAAGGACACACAACAGTAGGGAAAGGTGAGCTCACTCTGTGGTATAGGCAGTCATGGCCCTATCCCAAAACAGAGAGTATGGCCTGATGGAGAAAAGAATCTCAATGTTTGACACAGCAGC